TTCCTGCTGCAATGGAGATACTTGGTCTTCGGAGCTTGGAATTCTCAGTGAGGATCAGCCTCGTTTGATCACAACTTTCAAGGTGAATAATCACTTGGTCAAAGTCCTGTATTCGTGGCTCATTTTATCCATATTTGGTATTCTCTTGTTTAGTTCAACTTGAACACAACTTCAATTAAATCGTAACAGCTCTAGTGTTTGGTGTTTTTATTCAAATACAAACAAAATACTACAATAGATCAATAATTTGATTAAGGATAGGATTTTATTAACTAATGTTAACTTTTAACTAAAGATTTGTACTTCTATGCTAATTTTGTATGTTGCACTATAAGCCATGTCATGTCATGTTGTATCTTATCTGTGTCCTAAAATTTGTTATATCCCTAGGCCCATGTTGTATCTTATCTGTGCCTAATGTTGCATCCATTCTTCCTAGATCATTAAGTATTTGGCTCTCAATTCAATCTCTGTAGATCAGTGTTTTGCAATCTAGTTGCTTGCTCAAAGTCACCCCTACTAGTCCCTCCATAGACCACCATTTTGTGAGAAAGATGGAATGTAGCCAAATTTAGCCTCACCTTTAATATATTATTTAAATTTCTTTACAAGGCTAAATTTAGCATTATATTAATGATAAATATCTGAATTGGGTAGCATGTACAAGCTGGATAGTGACAATCCATAGGATCCTACAGGTAGTTGTTCCATCTTCCTTGTGTTGCAATGAAATTGAGGGAATTTTAGTCAATGGGGGGTTAAAATGTGACACTTGATTCGTGATGGACTAAATTGAGGAAAAAAAATACGTTAGTGAGAGTAAATAGGATCTTTGTCAAAATTTCAACCTAAAGACAATTTCATGAGTGATGGAAGCAACAGGGAAAGTAGAACCGGAGGCTATGTGATGGTGGTGGTGGGGCATTAAGGGTGACAGTTGAGCCATGGTGTCTTTTTACAATGTCAATAACTACGGAGAATGTAACAACCCTACCCAAAAACGGGGATTAATTGACATTTTAGTCATGAAAAGGGAAGTTGCATTCCTAAGAATGACAAGTTCTTGAATTTGTTTTGAAGTTTGAAACACAAAGGGGTCTTCAAGATTCTGAGTCTCTTTAAAATATTCCTCACATTCTGTTTCTATGACTTATTCTGTGTTTTTATTACAAACATCTGTGTATAACACAAGACGATGTAGCTATAAGCTAGTGTTACCAAACTCTGCCTTAGAATATCATCCTATGACAAGTGGCTTGTTACATCTGTTATTGTTTAAATAGAACATTGCTACAGGATTTCAGAAATTGTGGTTACATTTTTCATTTTTGTTTTTCCTATGATTATCAGACTGTGAAGAAAGGTACAAATGGTGGTGTGACAAAAACAGGAATTCTAGCAGCTGCAGCAGCTGGAAGTGTCATCGGTCTTGCGTTTGTTCTTATGGGACTCTCAACAACCACATGTGACTCTAATATATTTTTTAAGCAACTTCTGGTGATACCCATTGCAACCCTGGCAGGATTATGTGGTAGTATCATTGACTCTCTCTTGGGTGCAACATTGCAATTCAGTGGATTCTGTTCCATTCGTCGCAAGGTACAAAGGATATTTTCTCTATGCTTGTATTCCTATATTGCATTTGAAGTTTGTAGAAAAAATCTCCTTGCAAAATCCAATGATTAATAGTGGGAGAGGTATCGAAATAAAAGGCATCATAGAACCCTCCTATTTTAATCCTTGGATATCTGATACTTGAAAATTTTTACTCCATTTTTTGCAGGTTGTTGCAAAGCCAGGAGCAACAGTTAGAAGGATTTCAGGTGCCAACATTCTTGACAACAATGCAGTGAACTTTGTATCAATACTGTTGACCTCATTTCTTACTTCAATCGCTTGTTTGTACATTTTCTAAATTCATCTCAAGAAGCGATTATGTGGTCGGTAGGTTCCAGAGTTTAAAACTTGTATTCTAGTGCTGTTAGTTGTTCCTATACAGACAGTTGTATTCTCATTCATCGATTGGAAATGCCAACATTCGAATAATAAAGAAACATTTGCTACAGCAATTAATGGCATGCCTTTTAGGAATGTATCTAATAAGATTTTTTTATTTATAAAAATGATAATAAATATTAATCAATCTTAGCATGGATATTAAGTTATTTGACTCTTTTGCAAGTTGTCATATGATTCTAATTGTTGATCATTCATATCTGAACAACTCAACATCTTTGTATTATATCGTTGAGACAAAGTTGATGGGGTCTGTCTAAAAGACCTGCCTTCAAGGGGTCTTAATGTCTTCTGCGATTCTTGTTTCAACAACTCAACATCAGCAAAAAGACAAAAAGGCCAAATCCTGTAATTAATATTTCTAAATTATTTTTAATTTTTTAATTAAAAAATAATAAATATAAAATTATATCACGCTTATTTCATTCAACTTTTTTCAAATAAATTATAAAGAATCGTAGTCAAACTATCTTCTATGTCTATAATGAGAGATTATTTTTTTTAAGCGTTGATGTCATTAAAATGACTTTTTTTTTTCTTTTTTAATAATATATGTTTTGGTACAGAACAGCGCAGAGATTGGAGAATCATTTTTCTTAAACTTTTTATAAGGTAAAAGGCTTCGTTTATATGAATTTCCCCATAAACATTTTAAATAAAATAAAATAAAATGATAAATAAATTATTTAAAAAAAATTAAAATTAACTTATCTACTTAATTTTTTACTTAAGTTGTCTCATCTAACTTAAAAAGATTGAGATTCATAAATAGATTTTTATGTATGGAAAAATTTAATTTTACTTTCTTATTTTCTTTTTCTATAATATCTATGACTATGGAGAATTTGATCAAAATAAAACTTAAAATTCTGAGACTTATACCTTATTTATTACATTTCAGTCCTTATTTATAAATTTTATGAGTTTTAGATGTTTTTATTATCTGAATTTTTGTCAAATTTTTTTTATACTTGAACAAATTTTATATGATTTTAATCTTGAATTTTTCTTTATAAATAAAAAATTTTGACATCAAGAACTAAAATTTCAATTGAAAAAAAAATTAAGAACTAAAAGTAAAAATTAGTAAAAGTTCAAAGGTTAAAATTAGTATAAAAAAAATTGTTAAGGAACGAAAACAAAAATTGATAAAAATTTACGTATAAAAAGATTTTTTGTAATGAGATTTAAAAATATTAATCTTAACAAATATTGTTTTGTTAACGTTTCTCATATACTTCTATCTTGCTGTATTCGATTGTCCTAACTTGACTATTGGTTGTACTTACCTTAATAGATGTAGGGCCTACTTGTTTCTTGTTTTTTAAAATTAAAAAAGCTTGATTCATAAAACTAGTATTGGAGAATTATTTTCAAAATATATCTCTTTTCTGTTTTTTAAAATCAAAATCAAAACATCTATCTAAACTGTTTTAGTTTTTTATATTGATTTTTATTACCATGAACAGTTCATTTATCCTACAAACTAAGCTATTTAAAATAAAATAAAATGTTGGCCCATTTAAACATTTATTTTGGTGAATTTTTTACTGAAAAAAATATTTTTTTAAAAAATCCAAATGGACTCGCTATCCTTTATTTACACAACTAGCATCCTTTACTATAAAGTCAGAATTCGGTTCTTAAGGAACCGAATTCTAAGCTTCTACGTTCTCATCTCTTGTAACAAAACATGTCAAAATTCGGTCTCCATGGAGCCGAATTTCGAGCAGAGATTTTTTGTTTGTTTTTTAAATGTTAATTTTTTGTAAAATTAGAATATACATTTTAATTTAAAAAATAAAATAAGTATATAAAATCAATAAAATTAATAAATAATATTATGTTTATATTTATTTATAATTAAAAATTTTGTTAATAATTTATAATATTAATATGATAATTTAATTATGATCACAAATTTACATATTAAATAAAATAAGTTAATTAATATTAAATATTAATATATTAATAATAAAATTATTTAATAAAAAAGGTAATTAGTAACATTAATTTGAAAATGATACATTAAAGAAAATAAGTTGCAAGCAACATTAATCAATGACGGCCATGAACAATGTTTAGACATGTTTTCCTTGTGTGATCAGGGGTATGACAATAAGAACAATATTTTACACAATTTTGTTATTCTCTAATGTTCATCTTTGTTCTTATTCTACTTGACTTAGGTTAATCCTTGAAAATTCTTTTGAATTCTGGATTTGAGTACAAAGTTGAGCCAGTATAAGTTGGTCAATAGTCTTCGTGTCTAACTTCTCCAAATTGTCCTTCATATACCTTAAAGACTTCTTGTAAGGTATAGACAGGAGATATGTAAATGTTAAAATTATGGTGTGCGTGTAAGCATAAAGCAATTACATGCGAGTATGTGATGTGAACTTTTTGGAACTTGCTATAATCACACCACATCTCATCTAACCTTACTGTAAATCTTCCTGTCGGTCGAACTTCCCCCAGATGTTGTGTCTCATCCACTAAAAATCTTATACTTGTTCTGTTAAAGATGATTACTCTATGAGTGCTTGTCTTTAATTGTACTTCTTGAGTTTTTTTTTAATGATTTATTTGATGTTTGAGTAATATAGATGCAATTTTATTTTAAATTTCATTATTTTGTTGGTCCATGTAAATTTTCTTATACTTTTTCTTAATCTTATGTTAATTTTGTTAACTTTATATATATGTATATTAAAATCTTTTAGGGTTTCGATATTTTTATTTTTACAATTCTCAATTTTTTTTCCTTTTGGTTTCAGCCTACAAACAAGACAAAAACATAGTCTATTTAGTAAACAACCTGCTTCAATCCATTTAAATGCTAATCAATATCTATCGAACTATAGATCATATTAGACTAATCTTTTTACCGCATATACTTATGTTCTTTATCATATTTTTACATCTTTGTTGCCTTTTTTATTCTCTTTATTTTATAAAATCATATTTAAAAATTAAGAGAAAAATAATTCAATCAACCTCACCTTTAATATATGCTCTCTCCACTCCAAGTTTATCACTCCCTCAATTTCTTTTTAGTCATCGATTTTAAGTAAAATTTTATTTATATATATTGTTATTTTCTAAGTTCAAGACAATACTTATTATTATTATTTTTAATTAAACCCATATATTCTACCTAATTTTTAATTATATGATCTATCATAGAGTAAAAATGAAAAAAAATATAATAGAAAATATCAAAATTATTTTATGAAAAACAAGAAAATTTATCATGTTTATTAGTTTATATTCAAATGACTGTTAAAAATAAACAGAGATAATAATAATATTTAAGATTTTTCACACAAATTATTCTAATACAATAGTATTTATAGAGAAAAGTTTTTTCTAAAATATCCTTATTTTTTTTATTTCTATAAATACGTTATTAATTAAATATTGGAAGACAACAGTATTTAATAAAATATAAAATTGGAACAAAAATTTAATATTTCATAAAAATTAAAATATCAATCTGACTTTTTTATTATTATTTTAAAATACTAAAACATGAATGACTTCGAACGTAGGGAGTATACTCTGACTTCAGTAACATGTTATTTCGTTTTCAACAGTAATGTCCTGACTTAAATTTAAAACTTGACCACAGAATGTTTTGAAATTTAAGATGCTTTAACTACATTATTCTCATACCAAACAGATGGAGCCATGGGGGCACCATAGTTAAATATAAATTCTGGATAAACTTTGCTGTTTCTTGTAACCCATTTTGGCAATACAGCACTTTTCAAGAACTTTTACTTTTCATTGGTCAAAAACAAATAAGCATTGTTCGTCCACTATAAAATATAAATTCAAATCTCAACTCATAGAAACTGTTGAATACCATGCCTACTAAAATTTGGTCCCGGAGAGGGCTCCAGTTCATCACTCTGCACTAGAATCACCAACCCTTTTGCCGACATATACGCCAAAAAGGGTCCCAAAAATGTTCATTTTATTGTTCATTTCACTATTATGTTATCACTATGAGAGTAACTTGCGCTAAATAAAATATTCAACAATGAAAAAGGTTAAGGGTACCCGTTGATCATAAAGTAAATTTACAAACACAACCATAAGTCAAAAGTAACATACTCAAAAAGTTCATGTGCATCTTCATTTGTAATTATTATTACTTTAGATATATATAGATATATAGAAGAAAGCATATATATATATATATATATATAATATAATATATATATATAATATTATATTATATGATGATATTATCTAAGGGCAGCAGCAACACACTACATCCAAACAGCACTCACAGGTCTCATAGCAGCAGAAGCAGCAACACAGAGCGAACAAGCTGCAAATCCCAATGAAATTTCCACCAGTCAACAAATGACAGTAATAAAATTGATGATTCAATTCACACGAACAAGCACCATGTAAGAAAAGGGACTAATTAAGTGTCGAGAACAAAGAGAGCAAAATGATGAAAATTAAATCATCCATGCGGTAGAGTGGCAACAGCAATAATAACAAAAAATTTAACAACAAAAGCAACAATGATAAGTGATAACTATACAAAACCAACCAAGCATAAAGGCACCCTTTTTCTTCGTGGCGTCTGCGAACATGATCCACGTAACTTATCTCTTGGTACGCAGGAGGTGCATGCATTTTTCCTTAAAACTAAAAGGTTATGTAACAAAAATATGAAACCTGCGAGTAAGTTTTGATTTCCTTGCAATTTATGTGGAACTAAAGCAGGTTTGGACCGTTTGGTTAGGGTACAGACCAACCAATGTCATTTATTATTATTATTATTATATTTTATTTTTAATTAACTACGTCATTTTATTCTTCCTTATCGACTAAGTTTCCTATCTGCCATTCAACTATTTTCTATTTGGTTTGGGACTATGAAATATAATTAAACTGAATCTTTGATTAAATAATAATAATATAAAAAGTTAATGGCTGTCTCTTGGATTCTAGAATACAAGCTATCTCTAAATTAGCATATCCATGAATAGCTAAAATGAAAAAACTATATATGAATATATATATTGGATAACCAATCAATTTAAAATGTACATTTAGATGTTATAAAGTATAAACACGTGATATCAAAGTAAGATGTATAAGATTCAATATCTCCTTGTTTATATATATATA